ATGATACGGGGTCTCCTCTCCTTCCATGCACCATGAGTGCAGCTCTGCCATCCGAGCAGAACAAGACTCTCCTGCTTCCGTAGTTGAGCCGAAGCACCTCTCTGGCCGAAATCAATAAAGCGAAAATTTCCGCCTGAAACACAGTGCAGTACTGACCCAGAGGGACCGACAAGCTCGATCCTGTTGTCTCGCAGTACGCTCCAGCTCCGGCCAAATCTCCCATTCTGGACCCGTCCGTGTACCAGACAAGTCCATCCCAGGAGCCGACTCTGCCCTCTCTCCAATCTCCTCTTAATGGAAAGAGAAAGGTCAATTTGTCAAAGAAGGTCATCTCGGGGATCATGACGTCACTCGGCATGCCCATGACCCCGCGATCCCCGCGACAGCCCTCTAAAATGTCGTACGGACCCCGATTGAAGGTTCCCTCCCTCCAGAGCCCGCAGCTCGCCAGCGTCACAGCTGTCCTGGCCGCCTCCATCTGCACCCGATCCGCCAGAGAGGGCAACCCCACGAGAGCCTCTAGGGCGCTCGTGGGCGCCGTTCTCATGGCGCCCGTTATGCAGAGGCAAGCCAATCTCTGCAGTTTGTCAAGAACTAGCCTTGTTCCCGCTCTTTTGGTGCTCGGCCACCGTGCCACTGCCCCATGCGTGAACATAGGCACCACCATGGTATCGTAGATCCACTGCATGATCTTCGGCCCCAGGCCCCAAGTGCCCCCTACCGCTCTCCGGCACGCCCACAGAGCTCCAAAGGCCGACCTGGTCCTTGATCTTATATGTTCCTGGAAGGTCAACTTAGAGTTCAACCATACGCCCAAGTACTTGACACTTCCGCTTGCAGAAAGAGGCACCCCATCCATCGAAATGTTGAGGTTGCACTCCATCTTCCTTTTTCTAGTGAAGATGACCATCTCCATCTTGCCAGGATTGACAGCCAACTTGCTGTCCTGGCACCATTGTGAGAATCTTGCCAATGCCCCGTTCAGGAGCCCCTGCATCCTCCTCACGTAGGTCCCCTGTGTCATTATCACAAGGTTATCTGCATATGCCTGAGCATAGACCCCGTGTTCTTCCCTCAGAATATGCAATATCTCGTTCACCACTAGGCACCACAGGAACGGGGACAAGAGCCCGCCCTGTGGACAACCCCGTGATGAACCGATGGAGACCTGCTCCCCACCCAGTCTTGCCTCGACCCTCCTGTCGGTTAGCATGGAGCGGATCCACCTTACAATGGCCGTCCCCACTCCAGTACTCTCCACCGCCCTGCAGATCGAGTACCGGGCCGTGTTATTGAATGCCCCTTCGATGTCAGCGAACACGCACACCGACAGCCGTCCCGAGCCCATACCCTCCTCCAACCTGGAAGTCAGATGGTGAAGAGCTGAGCCCACAGACTCGCCACTTCGGTACGCATGCTGAGCTGGCTCTAAAGGGGCCTCCAGCTCCGCCCAGTCCCTCAGATACCGGTCCACCAGTCTCTCCAGAATCTTCATAATGAAGCTGATGAGGCAAACGGGCCGGTACGACTTCGGGTCCATGTAGTCACTCTTCCCTACCTTGGGAATGAACACTACCCTGCTGTGTCTCCACAGCTCGGGCACGTACCCTCTCGCAATAGAGGCCCTAAACGGGTCCATCAGCGGGCGGGTCCGGAGACCTCCGTCCCTTTGCAGCAGAGCCGGAAATACTCCATCCCCGCCCGCCGACTTGAAGGGGCCACAGCTGTCAATAGCCCACCTCAGCCTACTATGGGTAACCACCCTCCTTGCCGTGGCGTAGTCGCATCCAAGACGACCCCCGGTTTCTATATTCCCCCCTGTGTCCGGAACAGCGGACCCTGGAAAGTGCGTGTTCAGCAACTGTTGTAGTGTGTCCGCTGGTCCCGCTGTGTAGCCACCGCCGGTCCTGCGGACCACTCCCAGTCTTCCCGCAGGGTCACTTCTGAGTACCCTAAGGAGCCTAGCCGCGTCCGGGGTATTCATTACTCCGTCGCAATAGCCTCTCCAGGCCCTCCTCTGTGATGCCCGTAGTTCTTTTTTGTACTGTCTGCGGACCTCCCTATAGAGATCCCAGTCCGCGCCTTGGCTGCTGCTCCTCGCTGTATTGAACAGCCTCCGCATTTTCCTCCTGAGACGCTCCAGGGAAGAGCTCCACCAAGGAGTCCGCCCCTATGCTCCTCTGTCTCAGGGCAGCTATTCTCGAACGCCCGCATCATAGCGGAGCTAACTCGGTCGGCGGCCTCGTCAATCTCCTCCATTGTCCGGTGTTTCCTTGGTAAGCCCCCTAGGCGCCAAGCGAGCTCCTCTCTATAGAGTTCCCAGTTTGTTGCCCGAGGGTTCCTAAATCTAACGGGTTCCCGAACACCCATCTCCAACCCAAAGGTGATGTATCTATGGTCCGACATAGAGTCCTCCCCACAGACACACCACCCAGTTATTTCCGGGAGCAGAGCCCTGGTACAAAGTGTTAAGTCTATGACCGAGCTCCGACCGTCGTGAAAAACGTGGGTTCTACCCCTCTGTTGGCCACCTGCAGCCCTGCCGAGGCCATGAACTAAACGAGGTCTCCCCCCTTCTATCCGTTGCCACGCTGCCCCACAAAACGTGGTGAGCATTGCTGCCGCAGCCAATCAAAAGAGAGATTCGTCTCCTCACAGTAGGAGACCAAGTCACTGATCTCCTGCGAAGGACAGCTGCGCCGTCCCGAGTGGGGGATCTGACCAGAATTGGAACCAGGTCCCTGGACGCCTTGTCCCTTAGGAAAAAGGCCTCCAGCCCCATGGTTAGTATACAGACCCTGGGACCGCCCTCTAAGGAGTCGACACTATGCAGCATCGATCCTCCCAGAGATAAGCCCCTAACCCATGATTTTACAATCCAGGGCTCTTGGATCAGTACAATGGATGTACCGCCCTCGGAAATTTTCCTGCATAAGTGGGCCGTTGCAGCCCTGCTGTGTTGCAGGTTAATCTGTAATATCCCGGTGAAGCCCGAATGCGAGCCCGAGGTAGCACCTCCCTCCGCTTCCGCTTTCTGACTGGTGGACCCTGATGGGATTCCCCGGTCAACTTCCATCCGAGATACCTCCTCGGTTCTCGCTTCCTCGGAGGGCCCTCCGGAGGTCTCCTCCACAGAAGCCGTGGGCGCCGCCTCTCCGACAGGTCCCCCAACCTCCATGGACGAGCCCTCTTCGTGTGAGCCCCCCGCGGCCACCTCATCCCCCTGCGGCCTCGGCGTCGCCAGGTTCACTTTTACCTGAGTCGCCAGGCAGAAGAGAAGTGAGCCCTTAGCCGTGATGGCGCTTGCCGATTTCTCGTCCACGTCCACCACCAATCTTGTGCCCCTTGCATCCTCCGTCCTCTGCCAGACCCTCCAGGCACGGCAATCTAGGCCATTCTGAGCTGCCAGGCAGCGGACTAGTGCCTCGTTCGAGACATCCGCCCCCAGGCCCGGAATCCAGATCGCCGCCCTTCTCAGTCTCAATCCTTCCGGATCGACCTCCACCAGGTTTGCGAGCCCCCAAGGCCTGACGTTGATCAGCTCCCTGCGAACCTACTCCCTGGTTTCTTCATCCATGATCTCGATCAGGATGTGGCTGCTCCACAGCCTAACCGAGCGTATCCGGGGAGGGGTGTATTGCCCCCCCCCCCTGCATGATATACATGTTTATGCGGAGGTTAAGAGACCCTATGAACCGCAGTAGGTCCTCGGAAGACAAGTCAGTTTCCTGTCCTCTGACGCCCACCACCAGTTCAGGCCCCCCCGCCGCCGCTTGTGCATAGGACCGAGCCCCCCTCTCAGAGATCCCCCGGGACGGCCTGCCTTTCCCGGGCCCAGCTTTCGCCGGGCCGCGTTTCGGCCGCCGACCCCCGGCAGGTGCCCCAACCTGGGTGGTCTCTCCCATTTTTCTTTTCCACTTCCCGCCTGCCGTTTCCGGTGTGCCCCCTATTGAGCTCTCCGTTGACAGCGTGGCAGGATTCCTGGGCGCCGGAAGAGAGCCCGTCTGCGGTCCGAAACCCTCACCGCGAGTCTCTTCTTCTTCTTCGCCCTCCTTTTTTGTGTGTCATCGAGGTGGTGTTCCCTGTTTGTACCGAGCCCTCCACCACGCTGGCGACCTGGGGATCCTGTTCAGATCGCCCTTGGAGGGGGCCTTCCTGAGGACGCCCCTGCTTGCTGGAGCCCCCTGGGGCCCCTCCTTCTTCTCCTTTACACATTTCATTTCTGGTTCCATAAAGGTCCCACGAGTAGCTAGGGAAACAAACGGTCCACCTCTGCAAAGCACCGCATGCAGAGGTAAGGCTTCTTTCCCCGAGGTGCGCCCGGTGCCTCGGGGTTGGGATCGGTAGAGACTGATCTTCTATCCAGCCATGCGACCCCCCACCGTAGGATTTATGATTTTTATTGAGGTTTACTTCTCTTGGTCCAAGTGGTGAAGCTCAGGCCCCCCGCGTCGCCTGCCCACTCGTCGACCCGGCACCCGACGCCTGGTTTATCAACCGACTACAAGCCAGTTGGCACCGTTATACCCTGTGCAGGCCCTTAGCCACGACACGACAGCTGGGCAGGGTGACCTGGTCCACGACTGGTTATTTGTCAGCCCTATTGGATTTTTACCTCCTCATGCCTCCTTATTCCCAGCCACCCAGGCCCGTGAGAGCCTGGGCTCCCCTATCCGCCAGCCGGGGGACGCGCCTCATGGATTGCTCAACCACATAATACATTAGTAAAAGCACAAGATCCACACTCGACAGTAGTTTAATACGTTATCAATTTGACAAATTACGGTCTATGAACAAACCTGCATATTAAACGGTGTTAATTGATTTATCTTGCGTTCTAACCAATAAGCTTTTCATCATATCATTAAGTGAAAAGAATATCATTTAAGTCTTTGTTCCGCAAAAAAACATCATTATGATCAATTCTGATCCATCAGGCTCGAGACTATTTTGATTAAATAATATCGTTCAAAAAAGTGTTCATGTTTTTTCGTTTGCAGGTGTTGGTGGAATATGATGACGCAGAATGGCAACGCAGGGAGTGGATGAGCGTATACAGGGAAAACTTGTTTCACGTATTTCTGGTCGAGCAGGCGCTTGTGTGGGCCGATAGAAGAGATCCGGTAAAGCCTTCGAATGGAACTGTCCTTTGGCCGGCACTGGTGAGTGCCTTTTACAATAAAAAAAATGCAAAACCTAGTACAACTAATAATGTAGAGTGCAACAATTACATTTATGAACAAAGCAAAAAATATATTCAAAAAACAAATCCGTTGTGAAATAATGCTGGTTTTAACTCAAGTTAACTCCAGCTGGTTCCTAATTAGTTAGGTATATTAGAAGTTTCATGAGAAACAAACTCGATTTTCGTGTGAAACTTACTATGTGGCCATAATTGGCCATAACGTACAATTTATTTTCGCTTTTACAATGTTGCCGGTTCTACCCAAAATTATTAGCAACATTGAAATTTAGAATGGAACATTTATCTACGAAAGGCAAAAAGAAGAAGATTTTGTTGCGCCTACCCAATTTTGCTTTAAAGAAGAAAAATCATTTTTTTGTGTGTAAACACATTGCAATTATAGTTATTTTAATATACTAAAGGCAACACAATAATAATAAGCTGTTTTTATTAAATTTTGATATTTATCGAAATAACATTTTGACCTTTAGAACACAAAATTCAATAAAGTTGTCTTATATATCCACCATTTTTCATATCCGGCATTCCTTTAAGGCACATGATTGATGTACGAACCAAGAGAGTTGATTCAAACGGGTGCCCAGTTATTTTTTCATCGTAAGAAATTTTCATAAATAAAAAAGTTATCGGTAATTTTGAAAATAATCAAAAATTTTAAAAATGCCTAATATTTTGGCTGGTAGTTAAGAGATCACCAAGGTAGTTTTTGCCCTTAGTTTTGAAAATTCGACCCTATGCCTGTCCGTATAAGTCAATTTTGCGCATAATATTTTAGCGATAGATTTTTCCCGTTAAAAAATACTCCAATTACGACCACCCTGTGTACCGCGATTGCCAAGTCTTGCAACTGGGCCGGATAAGGTTGTAAAAAATAGTCCCTTTTATCCGAATTCGACAGAATCAAATATCGCTACGACATCAGGGTGGGGCCTAGTTTCACTCGTTAGAATATATTATGCCATTTCAATAACACCCTGTATGTTATGGTGTATCGATCGAGTTTACCAAGCCGCTCGGTATTACTTTAAGCCCGACAATCGTCGGCAAACAAATTAAAATTCCACGAGAATTATTTCGACGCGAAACGTACGTGCTTGAATTATTTATGAGCCGTCGCGGTTGGCAACCTTGACTAAAGCTGGAAAAATATGCAGGTCAAGATTAATGCGGTATTAATATGATATAATGACGACGCAATTGCGTCGATTCCGCGTAACTTGAATATTTAACATTTTCTAACTATCGTTTCTTGGTGTAGAGTACTTGCACAGATAAATGACCTAATTACAGCAATAAAAACATGTGGTAAAATCCTTTTTACTGACCCTTGTAATATTCACATTTCGGCATAGAACCAGGTCTTGACCAAATGTTATGAAATTTTCGAATGTGCATTTAAAAATTGGTGAATTTTAGTGAAAATGACAATAACCAGTGACAATGTTACAAACTTATCAGCAAGAACTGGCCAGAGAGGCAATATTTTGATTGTGTTTAAAATCTTTAAAGAACTTAATCGATACATGCATTCAGGAGAAACAAAATGGAGAGGCATTAATGACGTGATACAAGGCACAAACCGAAAAATCTTCAAACTAATCCGGACAGAACTTGCTGAGTATAGGGAATCCTTTTTTTAGAGTATCTCGGTTATTTTTATAGAAAGTTTCGGTTTACGCGAGACTGTGTTACTCTTTCGTAAAATATAAAGAAGCCTTCGACAAAATAATCGATTTTGGGATATTGTGACCAGAGTTTATAAAATGTTCATCTAGGATTTTTTCGTAGAATCTAGTGGCGTAGTTTTTTTTTAACTTGCTCTAACCCTTTTTTAATTATGAAGCAAACTTATGTATCTTTTAAATGGATCATCCAATATATTATTTTTTACATTATTTAAAAATCATTTAACCTTTTCAAAAATATATATTAGGAAAAAGTTGTTTTGAAAATTAAGTTCAAAATTATTTTTTTTATTTTTTACTTTATTTGTAGCCGTAGGCCATAGTAAATTAACTAAAAATAAGATACATCTAAGCAGTTATTACTGTACAAGAGACTTAATTTCGAAAGCACGGGAAGAAAATATATTATTTTAAACTAGTAATATCTTATTAATATGATAAATATTATTATCTATTAAAAACAAAAAAGCAAATGTGTCAAAAACATACGAGACCTATCCATTTGTCCTTTCTGTGTTTATTTCATTTTGAATTAATATTCTATAATAGTGGCAATATTGCATAGTCAGTATAGTTTGTACATTATAAAAATATGTTTTGTTTATATTAAATATCCAGAGAGGTGACAAACGTTTCCAGATATATTTGCTGATCTGAAAATAAATCTAGTAGGCGGGGATCCTTCATTCAGCCACGTCCTGAAATATTATTTGAAGGAGAATAGGGAGCAAAGAGAAACAAATGTATTAGGGTACATAGAGGCAACGCCGTTACCATCTTCCAAACACTTAGAACACGCGGTAGGGATACCAAAATCGACTGCCCAAAGAATTAAAAAAAAAACAAAAACCATCCTTACAAGTTTAAGAGTGTTTAACATCTTAATATTATTAGCACAAAGGAAAAATCAAATATTCCACCTCAACTCCGTAAAGTTAATGAAATCAATAGGAGTTTCCTTAATTCAATCCCGGTGTTACCCACCTTTAGTACGGACTATTATCATAACCCAATTGTCTTGACTGGTTCGAAGCTGACAGAGACTGATGTGACGAAATTTTTATGCAACATTAAGTCCAGAGCAGTCGGAGCAGATGGTTTACGTGTGAACTTTCTAATATTGTATTGTCCATTTATTCTTAAATATATCTGCCACATCTTTAATTTTCCGTTAATTCCGTTTTTCCTTCCGAGTGGAAGATCCCACGTATTGTGCCTCTTTGTAAAACTAAAAGTCCCACAAGTTATAGTGATTTACGCCCTATTAGCATTTTGTATGTAGTTTATAAAATTCTGGAAAATGTCATTAAAATGCAACTGATTGATCATTTGGAGAAAATAGTATTCAGCCAGACTAAGTTTCAGGAAGGGGCACAGTTGTGCAACTGCTCTCCTAAACGTCACTGATAATTTATTCCGCACAATTGACGAAGCCAAATGTACCATCTTGGTCATGTTGGATTATCCTAACGCGTTTGATACCTTGAATCGCCATACGTTGCTAACTATTCTAAAATACATAGGGCTTGATGAGGGTGCTGTCGAATTTATGGGGAACTACTTAAAAGGTCGTACACAAAAAGTGGTCCTAAATCAGACTGCCGTGCTATAATATCTGGAGTGCCTCAAGGCTTCATTCTGGGGCCAATTTTATACTGTATATATACGTCCGCGTTTCCTAGTTCTATACAGCATTGCAAACCCAAATGTGTGCAGATGATACACAAGTTTCTTACTCATTTTCGCGAGATAAAATTTTGGAAAGCTGTCAAATCATAAATAATGATCTAGAAATCATTAACAGGGTGTCCTAGAACATTCATTCCATCTAAATCCAAAAAAATCTATAGCAATGTTCTTTGGTAGGCCCGTGGATGTTGATCGATTATCGCAACTAGTTGAAATAAAAATATCGAATGTGTGCATTCCTCTGAAAATGGAGGCAAAAAACCTTGGGCTTATGCTCGACAATAAGCTAAGATTTAATGGTCACGTATGGTTCTAAAAATATTTTAAATCAATCATTAAAAAAGATCCTGTGTGACTCGAAAGTTTTATCTTCTTTTAACCACTGTGATGTCATCTATGGCCCATATCTGACAGCGGCTGCCCCAGAACGGATTCGAAATATCCAGAATTCATTTTTGGGATTAAACGTGGCCCGCCTGTTAGTCCTAAACTGAAGGAAGTCCGATGGCTTAATATGAAAAATCAACGATATCTCCATAAATGTAATCTTTATCACAAAATTATAAGATTGAAGTCTCCACGCTATCTTTTCAAAAAAAAAAAACAACTTTCGCACGGACGTTCACAATTTAAATTTAAGATTTATAGGCCTGCTCATCCGTCACACCTCTGGAATTTTTGAAAAATTCTTTACACATATGTGTAAAGATTATATGTTTTAGCTATGCCATACATAGCTAAAACATTATAATCCATTGGATCAGTCTCTTAAATTGCTAAACAATACCTTTTCCACACACGTGCGTGAAGTATTATTATCATTAAATGTTTAAGTAATGTCTACTGTAAACTATTTCCAAAGTTTAAATCCCTCTATTTGCACAGATCGTACTAGTTATTTATTTATTTTTTTATGTGTATTTTTCTGACCTAACGCTACTACCTTCTCCTTAGGATAGGTTTAAAAACGGAGGCACAAAATATCTTATTTTGTTCATCCGAACCGTATCGTTTTCATTGTATACCAATACGTGAATAAAATTATTATTATTATTATTATTATTATTATTATTATTTGCATCCTGGCGATTCTTTTGAGAAACTTGCAATGGTCCTAAGAATGTTAATTTTAAAATTCGGGACTTTTTAATCGCCGTAACACGAGAAACTGGCTGATAGAAAACTACCATTTAATTATCGTGTTTTATTTTGGGACAACGAATAGCATACCGAATTCATGGAGGAGGTCTTTCAGCACGCAGGAAGCTGGACATTCTTGAGGAAGTCATTCCAGAATTACGCGACGATATTCCTTTAGTATATATTAGTGATGTATACGTTCAGTAAGATGGTGCCCCCAGTCATAACTCTGGATTTTTAAGATCATTTTTAGATGACAACTTCCCTCAAAAATGGATAGATACCAACAGGTCTGTAAGATGGCGTCCACGATCTTTGGATCTTGCACTTTTAGATTTATTTTTATAGAGCTGTATGCAACATAAAGTATATAAAAACGATAGGAGTCTGTAGCAGAACTTCGAAGGGCAATTGAACTTTCGAAACTCTAAAAAAATGAGAAAATGTGTGAGTTTTACATTCCAGAAAATGGTCTCCAATTTGAACAACAGTTTTAGGTATAATATGTTAATGTTCTTTATATACATCAGATTAATGTAATGATGAACTATAATAAGTTAAAAATTATTACAAATAGTAGTTCATAAGTAGTGAGTTTCTTGTCTGTATATTAACAAATGTTTACTTGGATATTGGTTTTAAGATTAATGATGGTCTACTGCTACAAATATAATAAAATATTAAATAAAACAAATTTTGAACTTAATAACATACTAATGTATATATCTGAAAAGCTTAAATGATTTCCAATTAATGCAAAAAATAATATACAGGGTGTTCTATTTAAAAATATATATATTTGCTTGTTAACTAAGGGTTAGAACAAAAAAAAAACAAAACTACGCCGCTGCATTCTACGTAAAAATCCTATAAGAAAGTTTTTTAAACTCTTCAGTAACTTAAAAGACAACGGAGATACGCGAGTAGTCCCAAAATCGATAGTTTTGGATTTCACCCTGTATCAAATACCAAGAGGGCCATAATAATTTTATTGACGGTATCTTTATTTTCACAAAAAAGTAGCACAGTGTCGCGTAAATCGCAACTTTCTATAAAAATAACTGAGATACTTTATGAAAGTGCCCAAAATGAGATACCCGGTACAAGTTGAAGTTTATATAAAATGTAAGGTTATTATTTAAGATTTAAGAAACATGATTTTATTGGTAAGAAAATTACAGAATATAAATATTATTATGGCAATAATAACATACAGGGTGAGTTTTATTATATATTAATATATGGATCAGGTAAATTTATTTCTGTGCCGAAATGGGACTTGAAAATGGAGGACCTGTCGCAACTTTGTGCCGATTTAGGTTATTTTTATTCCAAGTACCTGCTTGATGTGCCGATTTGGGAATCACTCTGCCAACTGCAGTAGTATCGCTCTAAAATAATTATTTACTTGTAAGTTTTTAATTCTTTCATGTTGTCATTAGAGATCCCCTCATAATGACATGACTGCATCGTTTGCAGTTTGTGCAGTAATATGTCGAGCTTAACCACTTTAAAAGCCTTCGTCAGGCATAACTATATGCTTGCTGTCTAGAGCTTTAGATCTATAGTTTACGATGTCTGTTGTAGCACTTCAAAGATATGTGCCGGTAATTGTTTATACCAAAAACCTCGAAAGATTTTTGAGCAGAATATTTTTAGTTTGAAGGATCATGTGTGTAACTATTTGCATCCAATTTGTAAATGACATAATGTTAGCGAACCAATATAGAATATCTTTGATCGTGGGATGATTGCAATGTGTTTCGCTTTGTTGCAGACATTCATGCCTTTGGTATCCAACATCGAAATTCCTGGTAATCTACTGCCCGTGGAATTCCTGTTAGATAGAGAGCTAGCGTTTAAGGAATACAGAACACTCAAGCCTTATCAGGTATGTCTTATAATTAAAATCTTCTATAGTTAGATGAAAATCTATAAATTTTTTATTACAAGTTTTTGCAATAAATATCAATATACGTCATGCTTTCGACCAATAATTGAATTGTGAAATTTAAAACTTAAATAAGATAAAAGTCAAAATTTTAATGAGTGGTCAATCAGTTGCTTAACAAAATAAGTAAATTATTGGTAAGTAACCAAATTATATAAGTAATAATAATAATTAAAGTAATTAAATTATATTTAAGAAACTTTTGAAAAATCTATGAAATGGTATAAAAACAAAAAAATATTGGCTTATTAGTATTTTTTTTTATTGTTATACTCAGGTAAGTAGGTGCTAACCAAAACTAACCAATTTAAATCGGACAGGTTAGACGATAGACGTCAATGCCGCTACTAAAAATTAGGTGTTTGGTATTTGAACTGAGTAATTAAAATTTTGAATATTTTGGGTGATAATTAACATGATAATAAAACATCAGTTACATCAGTATTTGGTCCAAAAATGCATCTATTATCAATTTTCTTGTTTACAGAGTCGTAAAATTATCTAAACCCGAATCAAATTCCGTTTGAGACGCCAGGAGCTTACAAGAGAGATAGTACGAACAGTATCGATTAGGCTAAGACAACATGAAAAAGCCTTAAGACTCAAATCCTATTCGACCAAACTAAACTACCTAAACAAATTGAGAATCCATAGAAACTCTAAACAACCAATTAATCTTAAGCGTGACTCAGGTCTTTAAAGTCCGATTATTTAGTAAAGAGTACGTTCACGTCATTGTTTTCTACGCGAACGTAATTGTCTCTCTTTCTTCTGTCTCTCTCCAGCAGTGGTAATTTGCTCTACCAGTGACGTGACTCTTAAGAGAATACATTAAGAGAAACGAATTATGCGATGTTTGTATTGATTTTTTTTAAATTTTACGTGCAAATAAACAATGCTTCAAAATACCAAGGTACTAAAAACGGTTTGTTTTTCAAGAAGTCAAATACAAAAGAAAAAACACAAGCATCAAATTAATAAATTTATTTTTGTAAGCAGTAGTAATTTTTTCGTTAGCAATAAAACCCATTTTTTGTCTATTATTTATTTATTGAGTAAGTGATACGCTAATAAATTACGCAAATAAAATATATTTCTTCACACAGTCGTTACAGGACAAAAAAATTCAGATTCCGCGTCACTTTCTTCGGAAGATGTTGTTCGTGTTTCTATTTTTTGCCTTGCAAAATGTTCTACATATGGCAACTTAAATGTGACATTTCTACTTGCTAACCAATTTTTAATCAAGGCCCATATTTCCCAATTTCCTTGAAATCCTTGGCTTCTTTTTCGTGGGAATGCAAAAAGAAGTGCTTGCTAGATCTTACTCCCTTATCACACCTTCCAAGGTTACCATATAAGCCACTCACAACAACAGCAATTTTAACAATAAGACGTCTGTGCTCAAAATATTCTGTAAATTTCCACAAATTGTTGAAAGAAAAAACTTGTTTCGTTTTACATGACCTTAATTTAAGCCCGACTGACAGATGTTTCGCGAATAGTTCTCAGAACACGAGTCATTGCTGCATTCTCGATATTTTATTTCCTGGAAATGTGTTACCAGAATTGCAATAAACTTTCTGCCAGTATCATTATTCGGAGCATTTTTATTAGTTGTTTCGTGGAAGTGTTTTACAATGTCCTAACTGTAATCCCACTTCTGAGGTGACCTATTTCGACCTATAACTGATGGCTCGTTATTACACTTCAGGAAAATTTTCAACACTTTCAAAAGAAAAAGATTTGGTGCGAACTCTAGCGGACCGTCTGACATAATCTCGCGTCTACAAAGCGGCAGTCGCGCTGCAGCTTCGTCGTTAATTTAAAACAAATTTCACTGTGTTAAACGAAGCGAACGAAGCGCGGAAGTAACGTTCATAATAAATCGGCGTACACGACTTCGCGGTTCATTTCACTTCTCGTCATGATTAAGCGATCCACTTCCTCGCCGCCGTTGAAGGTCAATGTTTTCCCGAGTGCGCAGCAAATGTATATAATTTGGTCCGACGCGAGACGAGGCCCTCAGGCCTGTAAAACAAAGAAATGACATTTCGAGATGTTGTGGGTATGATACAAGTATCTGAAGTTGACGGTGCTAACATTAGCGAGAGGAAAAAAAAAAGGAAATTCATTACTGCTAGTGATTAATAGGGACCTTAAATATAACGTATACCAAATATCAAAAGTCAGAATCCAATATTTAAGTTACAATAAATAATTCAAGTTGTGACACCCGGCTATTCCTTTTAAATGACACTAAACGCGCGGGAATGATCGTGGCTTCATACCGCTAGGTATAATTAATGGCTATACCATTATTGGCGCAACCTACCATCATGCCCATAGCATAACAACTTATGCTAGATCAGACATAGAGAATGTCCAGTTAATTTCCGCCGAGGTGGCCAACGATATCCATCAAATAATAATAGACATAGGGGCAATTAAGGTCCTAAACATGTACAAGCCACCTAATACCCAGTGGCCAAACGATTCTTTAACCACTCTACCTCACCCAGCAATATATGCTGGAGACTTTAACAGTCACAATACACTATAGGGATATGCCGCAAATGACACCAATGGGGTAATTCTCTCAGAATGGGCGGAGACCGCGAATGCCCACCTAATATTTGACGCCAAGGACAGAAAATAGTTCTATTCTGCGAGATGGGGTCGAGAATACAACCCGGACTTATGCTTCGTTTCTTCCGACGAATCCGGTAGACTTCTAGACATAGCCAGGAAAGTCCTGGAGGACTTCCCACACAGCCAACATCGCCCGATTTTGCTGGAGGTGGGCCACCAGATTCCAATCATAAGATCTTCTCCACGCCCTCGATGGAACTCCAGCAAGGCGGATTGGGCAGCCTATGCTGCGGACTTGGACAAATATGTCAGATGAATCCCACCTACTCCCGGGAACTACCGCCGATTTGTCGGAGCGGTGGTTGCAGTGGGTAAGAAGCACATACCAAGAGGTTACCGGAAAGAATACATTCCGGGGTGGACGGAGGAAAGCGATAGACTATACAAGGAATTTATGGAATCTGGCGACACGGAATTAGCCGACGAACTAATCGAGAGCCTAAACAATGGAAGGTCACAGAAATGGCGGGAGACCGTGGAGGAGATGGACTTTAAACATTTCAGCTGCAAGGCCTGGTCCCTCTTAAGGAAACTTGGTGGCAGCACCAGCATCACTAAACCCAAGGAAACAATCTCGCTCAACGAAATCGCCGAACACATAGTCCACACATCCAGAGCTCCATCAGTTAAGGAACACTCTCTCCGCGTAAAACGCAAATACACAATCCTGAGGAAGACTGTCCAAGTAGTTACCGCCCCATCGCGCTACTTAGTGCGACGTACAAGATGCTGGAACGACTTTTATATAACAGAATAAGCCAGACAGTTCTGAATAACGCCCCAGTCGAGCAAGCTGGCTTCCGCCCGGGTCTCAGCTGCTGTGACCAAGTCCTTGCCCTTACGAATTACATCGAGAAGGGATTCCAAGAGGGATTGAAAACTTCAGTGCTCTTCGTGGACCTTACAGCAGCCTACGACACTGTGTGGTGAGAGGGGCTGCTTATGAAACTGCTAACTGCCACTCGATGCAGCAAGACGACCAGCCTTATTAATAATATGCTCGCTAACAGACAGTTTGTCGTGAACAAGGACGATCAATACAGCACAAAAAGAACACTCAACAACGGGTTGCCCCAGGGATCTGTGCTGACCCCTCTACTATTTAACCTGTATACTGCAGATTTGCCTCACACCACATCCAAGAAATTCGGATATGCGGATGACCTTGCGATTGCCGTTCAACACAAGCACATTACCGCAACAGAAGATATTTTAACAAATGATCTGTCCAGACTGGCAGTCTATTTTCGAGAATGGAGATTGAAACCTAGTATGAGCAAAACTGAGTCTTGCTGCATCTTAACAACAAAATGGCCAACGTAGGGCTCAGTATATATTTCGACGGTGCACTCCTCCACCATAATTCAATCCCTAAATATCTTGGTGTCACCTTGGATCGGACTCTAACATACAAAAAACACCTCACCAACACGGCTGCAAAACTGAAAACGAGAAATATTATCCTACACAAACTTGCAGGAACTACATGGGGTGCTGCTGCAGACACCCTGAGAACTTCAGCCCTCAGCCTCGTCTACTCTGTAGCAGAGTACTGCGCGCCCATATGGATCAACAGCAGCCACACCAAACTAGTGGATGTACAACTAAACGACTCAATGCGCACCATTTCGGGCACCATAAAATCAACACCGTTGTACTGGCTACCCGCCCTAAGCCATATCGAGCCACCGGACCTTCGCCGCTCACGTGCCCTGCTCCGAGAATACAACAAAATAATAAGCAATCCGGATCTTCCCATAAACGAAGACTTCCCAGCTGGGAGACAACGCCTGAAATCGAGGCACTCGCCTATTGCCACGACTATCGATCTTACAAACTCACATTTCAATGTTAAAGAAAGCTGGCAACAAAGGTGGCTCCAGGCCGCGCCCCCTGAATGGCACCAGGTTCTTAATTCAACAAAAAAAAAAAACAAAAATCCTTTTTGTTTTTTTTTTGTTGAATAATTTACATTTTAATTGATATACGTTTTGAATTTTAAACATTAAAAAACGAAAAATCCAAATTCGAGAGCAACAAAACACCCAAATCCTTAAACTAAATACGTAAACTCCAATGTACTACCACTAATATGAAAAATGCCGTTAGTGAAAATTCTGGTCTTGTGGAATTTCGTCACTTTGTCGACATATTCGACCCAATAATACAAGTCCTACGATCCAATACAATTGTCACGAATATCTTTAGGGCATCGGCAAAGAGAAGAAACCGAGAAATGTAAAAAGCAAAAGGTAATGTCGTCATTCAAAGCAAATGGCCCAAATGGG